CTCGCTAAACAAAGTGAATATGGCATTTGAGGTATACTGTTCCTTAATGCACCTGTAATCAGAGGTAATCCTGGTTCTTCAAGGAGATTATACAACAAAGGTGTAAATACTAGATAACCAAAGACAGAAACTGTTATTGGCTGTCGATATGCATTCACTTGTTCTGATGGGACACCATGAACAATATGGAAAACCAATAATACAAAACAGAATGTTGTAATTTGGTAGAATATCCTTTGCATTTCTTCTTATCCTAATTTCCTTACTGTTATGCTCTTAACATCAGTCAAGGTGATAACTGTAATGTCTAGAAACAGCCAGAATTTAATCTGGAAGAATTATACACAAGTATACCAGTACTGGAATTATATCTGTTTAAAGGAGTCATGCATCACTACAGAGAATGCATTGTTCTGTGTTCGTAGTATTGGCACATATCTCAAAGGTTATACTAATTTCAGTTTAGAAATACAGTATCGGAAGAATAATCTTTGGAAATACAAATGTTATAAAAATTAAAGATAGAAAAAAAATCTTAATATGCTGATATGCAACACGGTGACTGTTTTCACTGTGCCCAATAAAGATCAGCTATGAGCCAGAACCAAACCCTGGTTCCAAATAAACCCAGAACTTCGGATCCAGACTTTGCAGCTCATGTCCATCTCTAATATGTATCAATATGATTTACCTCTATGGTGGGGGTGCAGTGTGTACATACCAAGTATCTATAAATAGCATCATTGTCATAGGTCAGATTGGGCCTTTTGGATCTATATGAGGAGGATCCTTTGTCTCTGTGGGGTCTCCCCCCCCTCAATGTAGAAAGGGGGGAGTCAGCTGTTGCCTCAGAAGGATTCTTTCCCCTGGAAAGGAGACAGGACTCCTTGTAAGTCCAAGGATCCATGAAGGAGAAGTGGAGGCCCTAGCAGACTAAGGAGGGGGAAGGGAGTATATGCACGATACTGCTGCCATGAGACCAGCTGAGATTCCCCAGGACATGTAATACCCCTCAGAGTCTGTACTACACTTTCATGGCCTCCTTCCACAGTACAGATTCCCCTTCAGCTGGGACAGCCATGGTCAGACCAGTCCCCCAGAGTGATGCTACGCTACCAAGGATTGGGGCCAAAGTTGCCAGAGAGCACAGCCTCTGTGCTGATGATCCTGTATCTCCTGTGAGCCCCTGTGATCTCAGGATACCTATGTGGTTTGTGGGCCAGATTCCTGTCTCCATGACAGAAGACTACAAGGGAAACTCTGTGAGCTATAGGAGGGTTACTGCATAAGGATCATATCTGGCCCAGTAATAATACGAACACTTTGCATTGACATGGCACACTGACTGAGTAGCTGCAGCATTCTGTGTCCTAGATTCCACATAAATGACATGGTAATTAGACTACATTATTTGCATGGCTTTTTAACTTATTTAATCATTTCAAATTATCAGTATTATTAGAATTTGATTATGGAAAGAACTAGGTGGTTCTGGACTGACATGGCATGGCAGATTAACAGTCTTTGAGATCCTGTTTGTTTTATGTATGGCATTTTATTTCACTTTGAAAAGGGCCAGAATGTCAGACTTGCTTTGTATAAGATTGTAGCACCACCAGCTAAAACTTTCTTCCCCAAGCTACATTCATTTTAAATTGTTATGCTTAACAAACTTCCAAATGGGAGTCTAATTGTTGATAGACATTTTGCATTGCATGTGTCTATCACTTTGATTTAATATGCATTTTCAATTAAATTAAAGGAAAGGCCTCTAAGGTGGCAATTTAACAGCAAGACATGTTGTGAATTCCAGATATTACAAATATCCAATTTTCAGTTTCTTATGTGTAAAAATAACCCTCAGAAAAATCAGAGTATTTTTATGGCTGAATTATCAAAAGCTTAACACCTTTGAAAATATTGCCCACTTTAAAAATTTATTCATGTTGATCTAAAGCAAACCAATTCTTTCCCATTTATGTAAAATTTCAGCCGTGTGTGATTTTTTTTTCTTCATTAACGATGAAAGAAATCAGGTTTTATGTGGAAATCCTGTCTCTGGTCTATTTTACCTAGTAGTATGATTTAATTTTCTCCTAGAGAAAACACACATCTGAATTTCTCTAAGTAATAGGTACTTCTTGTCATGTTTGATAAGAGCCATTTAAAAGGAATTCTAAATATACTCTGAAAGATGAGAGAGCAAAACCAGCTCTTATGCGTCCCTAAAACAACACAAAACCAGGCATAGGAGAGCATGTACAGTACAAAGGAGACCTGTTTTATATCAAGTCTACTTTTGAAATGATCACAATTGCAGTTAGCCTACAGGCCAAACTACTGATGGCTGACAGTAGCACAATCATAATAATTTTGTAACTTCATTTTAATTTACTTAAAAGAGTAGACAAAAATATTTCCCAATATACGCATTTTCTTCTAAATTTTATTACAAACCTCTTTGCATTGTCCTTTTTTTAATATAAATTGCTTGAGATCATTTTGTCCTTAGTGGTGCTGCAGGGTGTCCCCAAACCTATGCTTGATGGCAAGGATAAACATTCATTAAACTTCAAAGCTGCCAAAACCTCTAGTTATTTTGATTTAGGGGAATAATTTAATTTAATCCCCATGTTTGTGTAGAAAATATGTAAAGTAATCCATTTCTCTGTCTGTCTCCAGCTTTCAGTCACTTACACTCTTACAAAACGCTTTACTAACATTTCCTGTCTTGAATAATTTGGGGAGAAAATGAATGCTTCGTATCTTGTAAAAGAATGCTGCTTTAGTGACACTAGACAACAAATATAACTCAGGGTTGTGTGCTTATATCGTAGCATAACTGCTGTTGAGATACATGCACAAGACAAGCTTGTCAATGGACATATTAAAACCTAATTCAATAAACATTATTTGTAGCCAAAGAGCCAGTGATGTTCTTTTAAGAGCTTTAAGAACTGGGGCCCCAATTCAGCAAAAGGCCAACTCATGTGCTCAAGGACTTGCTCAATCAGAGCCTAGAGAAGGCCTATGGTCAAGCACTAAGCATGTATTTTCTTTTTCTAATTAGTTGCTCCTAAAAGGGGCCAAGCTATCCAGGAAGCTTAAGTTTTAACAGCATGAATGGATCAATCTGACATTTTTTTACATCTTTAAAGTTAACACAATCATCCTCTGAATGTGTCATTTGGACTGTGTGCTGTGGTGTGCACTGAAAGGAAAATGAGTCAGAACCTCAACTGTTGTAAATCCATGTAGCTCTTCTGAAGCCAATGGAGCTACATCAATTTACACCGGCTGAGGTTATGGCCTAATACTTATATTCAAATATGCAGGCGACAGCACTCTCCCTGAGCTGTACGGACATTTGTTGAAACTGAACTGTAAAGGTACCGGGGTGGTATTATGGAAAACCCAAACAATTTAGAACCTCATCCCCAAGTCCTTTCTTTTCCAAAACTCCCATTGACTTGAATGGGAGTTTTGGCTGAGTAAGAACTACACAATCAGACCCTTACTACTGTATGAAATGAAGCAGTCAGTTTTGTCTGTATTTATGAACTTGTAACAGTCAGATTGTCCTGCGTTGACTTATGCAATGTATTATACATGAATGATCAGAAATGTTTACAAAATGAATTAGTTTGACTCCAGCTTTCTAGTCGGAAAGTAATCAAAGTGAAGAGCCAAGCTATTTCTGAAATTCCAGCTTCTCCTAACTTGAAATACTGCATGCTTCATCTTTCTGCCTATTGGGGGAAAATGTATATACTCTATACTGCGGTCACATTGAATATAGTTCATAATAATATTTCAAAGCATGGTACAAACATTAATTACTTAATCCTCGTGCTGCCCCATTGGGGTTAGTAAGTATTATTACAGTATATGATCTGGCTATTAAAATAATGTTAAAAATTGAAATTAACAACCGGTGAATGACTCGTCCATGATTTGTAGCTATTTTGCTGCATTAAGTGTTTCTTAGTTTTTTTTTAACTTCCTCTGAAGTGTACACGCACTCCTAGACACATGTAATCAGGATTCTTCTAATGTAAATATTTTCTTTATAGGCTTGTTCAGGGCTGGGGGCCCTCACCATTAAATCTTGGAAACTGATTTATTTTGTCCTCAACCATCTTAATTTAGAATTTAGCAAAATCAGAACTGTCTCTAGAACAATCTCACAATGAACATCAGGTTTTGTTGGATAGTACATGGAAATGATTATTTAAGAAAACAACAACATTATTTAAAATGTTTCTTTGGGCTGGATGGAGCCTCAAAAAAATATATGATTGGCCCTTTCCAAGAAAGTCAGCCTCAAAGTTTGAGAAGCATCACTTGATACGATGCTGGAGATTGTCACGGGCCAGGGCCAGGCTCCTCAGCTAGAGTAAACTATTGTACTGCCAAAGAAATCAGATATCAACTGGAGCTACATTGATTTACATCCGCCGAGGAGCTGGCCTACCTGCCTCGCCCATTGTTGTTGTTTTGCAATCAGCAAAGAGTTCAGTTCCATGGGTCAGATCCTCAGGTGATATAAATTGACACAGCTTTACTTGCTATCTGACATCAGTGGAGCTATAATGATTTACTCCAGCCGAGGATCTGGTCCAACATGTTTTAAATGAGAAGTGTTTATGAGGCACTTGAGGACCTGATTCTGCCCTCATCCAGCGAGCAGAACTCCCACTGTGTAAAGACTACAGGCGGCGGCTCCTTTTTAGTTCATGCTTCCACACTACATTTAAGAACTCACAGGAGTGGTGAGAACAAATAACGTTTTAATAAAACAGTATGGCAGGATATTTCTGGCATTAACCAAAACGTTTCTAAAATGAGAGGTCACTAAAGGGTTAAATTTGGTGCTTAAGTAGTTTAACTTAGAGCCCATATTTGTGGCTTTTCCCGTCTCAGAGTTCCTACAAGAGCACATAGAATTTCACCAGTGATCTTTCCCCATTTTATAACATTGTACCTTTATACAACCCTTCGTCCTTACACCTGTCTAACCTGTATCCATTATCCAGATGAAAATACTATAACACTCTCTCCGCCCGCACCTCAAAAGCAAGTATCAATAGAAAGAATGACAGTGGCTAGTTTGCACACTTGAAATGGTTTATTTGTTGCAATCCTGCGCACAAGATGTTTATCAGTAACCACCAGACAGCCATGCAGAAGAAAGAGCCTTAATTCTGTCTGAGACAGCCTCTTATTGCTATTGATAGTTAGCATCAGTGTCCAGTCTGAGAAATGGAACTGCTGCAGGCAACTTCAGTCAAGACATCCTATTGATCTACTGCTTCCTTTGCCTCCCTGAAGCTAGAGGAGAAAAATAAAAAAGGGAGGAAAAGCTTGCCGTATAAGGGGTGATGGAGCAATCTATGCCTTACAATCATTCAAAAGGGGTGTGTATGTGCATGGATATTCCTGATATTCAGCACCTCAAACACTTGTAAATCAGGCACACAGCCATGATAAATATAAATGTCAATATATTGGCAATGTCCTTTATATAAGAGGTGTCACTGGAACTACATTTTTAGCATGAAACATTTTTGCTGCTTTTTATTTTTCATTGACTTATTGTGCTTCTATTATACGCTGTCTAACACAATCAATCTAAAGCATAATATCTGAGACTCCTATTCATAAATAATACATATTTGGGTCATTTTCATTCGTATCCTACAACAAAGATTTACAAGCCAAAAAACAAACAAACAAACAAAAAGAAACAATGCGTGGAATGCTCTAATTCAGTGGATAAGAATATATTGCTGTGATCAATTAATATGTTTTTCTGTGCATTAGGTGGACATCTTTATGGTACATACATAAGGGTTTATAATTTAGAGGCAGAATCAGCACTAAGGCTCTAACATAAAATGCTCAAAGAGAAACTTTTCCAAAGATTTTTTTTTGAGTGTGTGCTAAATGCAGTAGACTCAAGCACAATAATAACCTGTATCTTGTGAGAGCGTATTATTTAGCTGAGCTCTGCCTATTACCTTTGGTATTTAATAATACACAAAAGGTGACCACATTACATGATGCACCTAAGAAAGAATTAGAAGTTTATTGTGCCATACATCCAAGGACCTCAAAATACATTATACAAAGGTAGGCAAGTATTATTATTCCCATTTTACAGATTGGGAAACTGAGGCACAGAAAAGTTGAGGGCAATTTTTTTCAAAAGGCCACATGCACAATCAAGTGCATTTTTTTTTATGTGCATGAGTTGCAGGAGCAAAACAAATGCTTGTGTGTGAATCACCTGAGTGCAGGAAGGGACTCCGCTAAAATCCAGTGATAAAAGTCTTCATCTTTTCCATTTCCAATTTCTTATGAAAAAACTGAATCTCTTTCTGTGGCCCAAAGTGAATGAGTATTCTGGATATGTGCTGTGCCAGAGGAGCAGCATGAGGGACTCAGAGGATCTGCAATTAGGGTTGCCAACTGTCCAGTGTTGGCCTGGAGTCATGTCATGTGATGAAATTTCCAGGAATACATCCAACCCTATCTGCCTTCAGGTGAGGTGTGTGTGTGTATATGTGTGTGTGTGTGAGAAGTTGCTGGGGAGAGGGAGTGACAAGCTCCCCCGTCCCTGCCTCCACATTACCTGAACTATGTGTTGGGTGCCAAACTGGTTTCATCCCACTGCAAACAGGGAGGCAGGATGGAAGGCTCAGAGGGAGTATGCAATTCCTGCACCTAATGGGATGCAGCTTGGCAAAACAGCACACAGCTGGCAAGAGAGCGAGAGGCATTGCTGGATGAAGGAGGGGAAAGAGTGGGCTGCTATGGGAACTTCTCATCCTTACCCTGTTGGGCTGGGAGGCATGGTATGGGAAGGGCCTACAGAGCACACTCCCGTCACCACAAGATGGATTCCATCCCTGTGCATCTGCTCAGTGCCTGGTTGGGCATTCAGCTCTGGACTTAGTGCATACAGGGTTATTAGATTAGCCTTTCAGCTCTGGAAATTTGCTACAAATGCATTTCAGATCAAAAGTGAAATGAATTTAGTTGCTACAACAAAAGCAATTTTACATTTCAGAGGCCTTTTAAAACACATTTCACTAGAAAATAAAAACAATAGGGAAAAAAGGCTACATTTCATTTCCCCTTTTTATAGTTTGACTTTGCAAATGTTTTGTGTGAGAGTGGCACATGCCTTCAAGTGTCAAAAGATGTAATAACCTCACATGCAAATGGCCCAAACGACAGAACTGTTACAGTGAACCAGAACGTACTAACCTGAGAATCCTGCCAGCAGCAATATACTCCAGGTATTTTGTACCAAACATATTTGATAGTCCTTTTAATATTTTACATGAAAGCAAGTGCAAGTTCACTCAATGAGTATTGTGTGTTCATCAGATCTGGGAATGATCCTTACAGAATATTGTACCTTCTGAAAACAGCGATTATTTATAAATCCCTGCTTTGTTTGAATTCAAGTGCAGGAACAAAAAACAAAACAGGTGTTTTCCTTTTTGGTGGTAACAAGAAAAACTAAGAAAGTTCAGAGGTTCATCCCGGTTTGAATACACACCCAACATTTCAGATACTTATAATTGTCTGAACTGCACGAAACTCTTAAATCTGCACAACTGGGCTCCCATCCTGCAATATAATTGATAAATCCAGACCTTTGTGCACATAAAAAGTCCCACTTATTTCAACAGGACTTGGGGTGGGTGTGGTCCACATCCATGTGGATCAGACTGCAGGACTGGAAATCTCTGTGGAATAGCCTCTCTCATAGCACACAGCACAACTGCTTTGGCTACAGCTTGAAAGCACGAGGTGTGAAAAAATAAAAAAGATAATTTTGAAATAAGTTTATCCCCCATTTTATTGAATGCCAAAAAATGTTTGTTTGGGATTTGGTTGGAATTTTAGACAAAGTTTGGTTCAGTTCGTATGGTACATCTGAACCAAATTGTCCATCTCTATTTCTTTTGTTTTACCACAGAAACAGAACAGAAATAATTTTCTAATTATGCTAAAGAGTTAAAAAAAAATCTAAAAGCCATTCTGGTGGTACTGTAAACAATGCACGAATGTTAAAGTGGAGATTGCAATCATAGTGAACATCAGGATATTTAGCATCAGTTAACAGACATCAAATAGACATCAGAGGATGGATTTCAGGCCCTACATGTCCTTAAATTCCAAACAGTGAGCATATGGTCATACTTTACTACAAAGAATTGAAATCAGTCCCAGGGAATCTTTACCTGAATATGAGCAGACATGCACTAAGAAGATGACGTCAAAGGAAATTTCAAAACTATATTTTCAGAACATCCCAGAGGGATATGAGAAATTGTCTTGGGGGACAGTAGAGTTAACACAGCAAGCAGAGGAGGAAAACATCAGAGGAAAACAAATTGACAGTCTGTATCAAAGATAATCAAATCCAGACATGTGCAATCCCAGTGGAGGATTCAAAGTAAGCTAAAAAGGTCCTATAGTATTAAATGCTGCTAAAGCAGCCAGTGCAAATAGAAGAGAACACCTCTCATGATCTCTATAGATCAGTGGTTTTCAACCTTTTTTCATTTGCAGACCCCTAACATTTTTTGAATTGAGGTGCAGACCCTTTTGGAAACCTTAGACATGGTCTGTGGAATCCCAGGGGTCTGGGGACCATAGATTTAAAACCACTGCTATAGATATAAGGGCCAGATTCTCAGCTGGTGTAAGTCTATGTAGCTCCATTGACGCCATGAGAGCTATGCTGATTTATACCAGCTGAGGATCTAGCCCAGAAGGTTGTTGAACATTGTAGCATTGCCATCAGCCTTATACCATGGTGTAAAAATGGAGCAAAGAATTCAGAGAGTCCATGTGCAGTTAACCAGGAAAGCAGCTAGTTCACAACAGCACAATTTAGCACGTTTGCCAAAAAAGACAGGTTTTATATGATTCTGGTGGAAAAGTGCAATGCCGCCAGTAGCATTGCCGAAACATTTGCTTTGAAAAGGAGGAATCTTACTTCCAAGGTCAACCTGAGGTTTCCTGGGTTCAGTGTAAAATGTTTTGTGGGGCCAAAGAAATATTTACTGGGTTGTAGGGAGAAGATGTGTAGTTTGAACATGTTTCAAGTCAGCCTGGGAGGTCTTTTTGTTTTTAAATATTTGCGTCTCCTCAGACAATTTTTGTGTGTGAGAGAGAAACTGGAAATGGAGAAAATGACTACTTCAGTGGATTTCAGCTGGGCTGCCTCCTGGGCTGATCCAGTGACACTGCTTTGTTTGCATCCTCCTCCAAAATGCTTTTCTTAAAGACATTTTCTTTCCACCGCATCTGATGAATTGATACAGCAGAGTCTTGCCTAATGTTTCTCAACCCTTTTTTGGTAAAACAAAGAGTTTCTGGCTTGAGCAATGGCTTCCTTCATGTGGCCATTGACAATAGAAGTGCTGAAAGAACGGCCTCATATGCAGGGAGTACATTGAGAGGCAGAGTCTCTTGGGCACGGGCATAAATTAATTGGCCGCATAATACATATTAGCTTCACAATGAGCAGGTGATTGGAACTTGTGTTACTGCATGCTAGAGATCATCATCTGGAGGGAGAAACTATCACCCCATTCAGGAGTGGCAGTGAAAGGTTAAAAGAAATATCCAGTAAGCATCATATTTAAAAAAAAGAGAGAACTTCTTATATCTGTCAAAGGAGCTTGGGGGGGAATTAATGTCTCTGAGTCAGAAAGACTGAGAACAAGTGAAATCCTACTACAGGGGTTGCCAGAATGCCTGGAGAGACAATATTGCACATGCAGTTTAACCAGGCAAGTGCCAAGAATCTGGAGCTGCTTTCAAATACAGGAATGTACTCTGAACCCAGGGCTCAGGCCCTCTCTGGCCTTATTCGCTGATTATCCCAGGGAAACCCATTGTGAGGTGTTAGGTCCTGAAACCAGGCAGAAGCTGAGGAATCAACGTTTTACGTAAAACAGCAATTACAAAGAGATCTACCGCTCCCTCCACATAATCAGGCAAATTACGCAGAGTGGAGTAAAGAATCTAAATGGGAGGAAAGAGTAGAGGGGTGGTTGGGGGAAGCGGAGATGGTCCCTTGGGTGATATGTGACGGGATGCTTAGTCTGAGTCAGGGGTAAAAGATTAAGTGAAAATGTAATGAAGGAATGCTCAGATGTAGTCAGATGAGAGATAGTTAAATAAAGGAATGTGCTAACTAGCGTGACCAGATGTCCCGATTTTATAGGGACAGTCCCGATTTTTGGGTCTTTTTTTTATATAGGCTCCTATTACCCTCCACCCCCTGTCCCAATTTTTCACATTTGCTGTCTGGTCACCCTAGTGCTAAACTAAGATAAATGTGAAGAACTGGGCCTGTGTTTAGTGTAATGGTGCAGCCATCTTTAATGATTCAGGATTCAGAGAGGGAGAATCCCCTTGGATCTTGGAATTCCCCCCTAAATCCATATACATTCGATCTGAAGGGCTGGTAAGCAAAGAAACAAAATAAGAAAACGGAAGGGAAAAGAGAAGGCATTTACATTAAGGCTCTAGCAGGTAAAGGGGCCTTACAGTGCATTTAAAGCACAGTTACGCCCACTTTAAGGTCCTTTCACACTGCTGAACGGCATAAAGGGGCATTAGTGTAAATGAGAATCAGACTCAATGTATCTGCAGTATTTATGAACAAGAAAGCTGCTGTTCAAGGAATCTGAGGAGGGCAGCATGAAAAGAGCTTGAAAGATGTAAATCTCTCTGGTTGGCTTATGTTTCTGCTGGTCACATGACTCTAGTAAGACTGGACCAGGGATTTTCCATCACCAGGCAAGCAGGATTTTGCAAAAGGAGGAGCTCAACAGAGCAAATAAGTGCTGTGGATAGAGCCCATATCAAATCTCTACCATATATTTTGGTTAATCTCCATCCTTAACGCATCCTAGGGTAGGGGAGCATCTGGAAGCTCAGTGAATACTTCTTGGGTATCCCCAAGTTTGGATATGACTACAGGAAGTTTGAATGTCAAGCCTTTGGAGGCTGGGAGCATTGCAGACTTTCAAAAGCAGCCTCGAATTTGCAGCCCCCAAACTGAAAGTCCACATTTTTAGGCACACAATATTAGCGGCTTAAATTTTTGCTTCACCTGCAAAGTTGGATTTGCATGGACAAATAGTATTTATCCATGCAAATTTGGAACTCAGATCTCCAACTAATCTAGTGGGTGCTAAAAACTGGCCTTTGGGGAATGAAAATAGTTGGGACACTGAGGTTTGCAAATTTAGAAAATTAATTGTGGCCACCATAAACAATTTTGGCCATGGAAGTCTCTGAGGGGGAAGACTGTGCTCTGTATTGCTCACTTCCTGATATTAGGTTAACCAGAGATTGCAATACAGTCTGAGTGGAGGCTATTTGCACGGCTCAACTTGAAAAATGGTGCCTCTCCCGTGTCTGTTTGTGTCAAGCATGCAGTTACAATGATGGAGGAGTGAGGGGCTGAACCTGAGGGAGTCAGAACGAAGGAGCTGGTTAAAACCCTTTGACCCCACTCTGTCAAGTTAATTTTCCTCTGAATCGTACCTGTCTTTCTGTCATCTTAGATACCTCCAAAGTGCCTATCCCCACAGTATTTAAGCGCTATGCAATGATTAAAAAGCATGGAACATGCCCACAAAGGGCATCAAGCTCAGTAGCTCCTTCCTTTCCCAGTGGCTGAAGCACTGTTTCAGAGCAGGAGGCAAAAGGGTAAATGTATCCTCTTAGCATGTGCCTGTGCTCAAATGGATGATGAAGATGAGCCCACAACTCTGGTAGCTGGGGAAGCCTGGTGCAAAAACAGGGGCAAAAGGGGGCAGGAGGAAGGAATGGGAACTAGCTTTGTAAGCTAGCAAATGTAATGGTGGAGGGCTAGGTGCCAATAGAAGGCATGAATGTGATTGAGTTTGCACAGTTGTAACTATTAAAGGTTTACTTTTAATTCTCTGTGGTAGTTTCTCTTATTCCTTCCTTACCGAGACCCTCGATTTTCACTTGCTAGATGCTTGGATGCGTTTGTCATACCCCAAAAGGTGATTTCAGTTCTTGGATGCCAGGAAACCTTTTCACTGATCAAAACACAGCTGCACGCGCTTGCTTGATCTGTTAATGGGTGCCACAACTCTGGGGTATGTCGGTCTATACCTGTGAAAATAGATATAATTAGTATAACAGATATGATATATATATATATATATATATATATATATATA